GAGTTGAACTGTGCCTTCGAGTGCCTGCTGAAGCTGACCCCTCTGCTTGACAAAGCAGATCAGCGATGCAAGTGAGTGCTGGCCGTGTCCAGGGCTGACCTGCAGCACTGTGAGCCTGTGGCCAGTCTGTGCCACAACCACCCCGTCATCTCTGCGGGGAGCCACGGTAGGGGGTGCTGGGGCAGCCCTGACAAAGCTTTTTTAGTTTCTGATCCAATTCCTTCTTGCTGAGGACCTGATGCTGCCGAATGAGCGAGGCAGTGAGTGTCTGACAGCTGATTCACATGTTGGTGATGCTGTGTGATACCTGGAGCTGCTTTTGGCCCTGCAGCATCCTCAGAGGGGTGGGAGCAGGGCCAGGAGGGCAACCCAGGAGTCCCCCTGCCCTGTGGCACTGTCTGTAAAAAAAAGAATGCTGTCCCTCAGGCTAATGCTCTCCTCTCTCTTTCAGCTGCAACTGCATGAATCTGCTCCTGCAGGAGTGCAGCAAGCAGGGGCTGCTTTCAGAGGCCAACATGACCAACCTGATTGCCAAACGGTACAGCTCCCTCAAAAGTCTGGGTAACCAAGTGGGGGTGGGAGCATCTCGCCTTGCTGCCCTTCTTGCCGGGGGGGGGGAGCCTAAAGGACCAGCTGTGATGCCACTGGCTGTCCTGCAGGTGGGACACCGTGGCCTGGAGGGACAAGGCTTTGCTTTCAGTGACGGATTGAGTACAGTCAGTCTGTCCTCTCAGAGTGGCAGCTGGTGGTGGCCTGAGGTGGTGGCCTTCCCTTGGGGGGTGCCAGTGATGGAGGTGGGTGGGATGTGGCTGAGGATGGGGAGGAGTGAAGGCAGGGTGACGAATTCCTGCTCACTGGCCCTTCCTTGTGGATCCTCCAGAGCAGCGGACAGAGAACATGCTCCGCGCTTGAAATCGGCAGAGAACGCCAACATCCAGCCAAACCCAGGGCTCATCCTGAGGGCCGAGCCAACTGTCACCAACATCCTGAAGGTGAGTCCCCTCCTGCATCTGTGCTGGGCAGGCTGGTCTCAGCGCCAGAGCCTATTTCCAGCAGCACCAGTCTCAACCAGGCCACCGGGGTGGTTGGGAGGTGCCTGATCTCCCCCTGTGCTGTGGTGGAGGAATGGAGGAATCACTCCCAGCCTTGCTGCTCTGCTGCGGAGACCAGGAGCTCTCCTCCTCCTTCCCAGGAAGCTGGAGGAGCTGTCAGGTGGCACATTGTTGTCAGAGCCAGCAGCCTGAGCCCAGCCAGCTCTGCCTGTCCTGCTGTCAGCTGCCTCCCCACGTGCATCTCCCCTGGTCCCCAGGGACTACCCCTGTCCCTGTGTCACTCTGGTTCCCTCACTGCTGCTGAGTGCAAGAGGATTTTTTGCTGCCAGTTGTGTTGCCTCGGTGCTCCGTGGCTCTCCCCTGCGCCGTGCCCTGTGGTGCCTGGGGCACAGAGGGCTCCATTGCCACCCCCCGAGCTCTGTGGGTCTCTGCTCACTGAGGCCTTGCAGGCTCTGGCAGCCGGTCAACTCTGCCCCCATGGCCAGAATTTGACTGCTGCTCTGTAGCACACATTGCCTGTGACTTCTCTTTCCTCTATTTTTTTTTTTTTTTTTTTTTTTTTGTAGACCATGGATGCGGATCACTCCAAGTCCCCTGAGGGCTTGCTGGGGGTCTTGGGTCATATGCTGTCTGGGAAGAGCCTGGACTTGCTGCTGGCAGCGGCAGCAGCGACCGGCAAGCTGAAATCCTTTGCTCGGAAGTTCATCAAGTGAGTGTCCACCTGGATGATACTGTCCATGGTGACCAGTGGGGCTGGGGTGAGCGGGCAGCCCCCCAAACTCTCCCTCAGACAGGGCTGGATGTGCCTCTGGCCCAGTGTTTGTGCAGCACTGGATCCAGCAGAGCCCTGGGGAGGGCTGGGATCTCAAGAGAGACTGCACCCTGCAGCACCTCATCTTTGCTTCTGTGTGAACAGGGCAGAAAATTGAAGGCAGGTTGGTTTAAGGGTATTAAACTGAAAGTGCCGGGACAGCCTCAGATCCAGGGCGCTCGCTGTGTGTGCGCCTTCAGTCCCCAGACGCCCGTGTCCTGGTTAGAGCACACGCACCGGCACGCATGGGGCTGCGTGATGTGTTTGCTTGAGCAGGGAGGCCTGGGGCAGCTCGAACCCCACGGCCCTGCCGTGCTTGCTTCATCTGGGGGTTCATGCTGCTGCGGTGCGGAGAGGGCCGTGCTCAGGAATCCCCACGCAGCCAGGCAGAGCCGGCTGTGGTGAGAGGATGCGCTCTAATGCCAGGCTGACTGGGTGTGGGGAAAAGCAGCGTTGCTGGACCTGTTTTGCTGCAGGGGAGCAGGGGGAGGAGGCGGCTCAGCCCTGCTGTGCCGGAGGGTGTCTGCAGAGCCGGGCCCCGCTTTGGTCCCTGCCCACCCTGCTCCTCTGTGCGGGACACAGAGCTGGGTGCTGGGCTGGGGTGCAGGAGGGGGTCGGCAGCCCCCTGCCTGTCTCGGGGATGGGAAGAGGCCTGTTTCAAGGGATGATAATGCTTCACCGCGGCTCTCTCTGCCCCCTCTAGGCTGAATGAATTCACGAAGCACATCACCGGAGAAGGCTGTAAGTGCATGCGCATCCGTGTGTGGGGTGGTTTGAGCTATGCTCCCCCCGCCACTGCCACGTGCTGGGACGCTGCGGGGCCTGGCTGGATTAAGCTGGGACTATCTGCGGCGCCAGAGCAAGCCGAGCTATGCCGGGCCTGGCTGGGGGCTGCTGGCAGGGAGCACAGCACAGGGGGCATGTGGCTGGGTGCCAGCAGGGATCTGGGCTCCCTGGGGACCCACTGCCCACATGTGTGTCCATCCCAAATGTGGGGTGTTCCCTGCTTGCAGGGGAAGAGCTTTTTTTCCCCAGCCTAGCCCATGGGGCCCCTCCGGGCCAGCCCTGCCCTGGCTCCCTCCCTGGAAGGGGTGATGTGTCAGCACAGAGCCCGAGATAAGGACTCTGACTGCATTCGCGTGTGATGAAACTTGCTGAGTGCTCTGACCTTCCGTGGTGTGGGGGGAGCCCCAGAATGGGCTGGGGCTGCCGAACAGGAGGCCAAAGCTGCTTTGGGGGCTTGAGCAGAGGCAGATGGGGTGGAGGGAGGCACTTGGCACATCCCGTAGAGCACACAAGCACTTGGGGGTTAGAAAAGCTGCCTGGAGGAAGCAGGGTCCTGGCCCCTGAGCTCACAGGGCTCCTGCCTGCCTCCTTATGCTGAGACTGGAGATCCTCAAGGTCTTTGTTTCTCCTCCCTCAGCCAAAGGAGCCTCGGTTCGGGCCCTGCTCTTCGACATCTCTTTCCTCATGCTGTGCCATGTGGCCCAGACCTATGGCTCGGAGGTAAGCATCCTCCAAGGGGATGGGGCTCTGACCTTGTGCTGTAGCCTGCCAGCCTCCTCTAGCGGCCAGCTTGCCATGGCCACCATCCCCACAGCCATCCTGCTGCGTGGGATAGAGCAGTCAGTGCCTTTCACCGGGTGCAGGTGGAAATCTGTCCTTGAAGGGTCTGTCAGTGCCAGGCGATGGAGCAGGGGTGGCTGCAGCCTTCCTGAGGGCTTTGGTTGCACTCTCTTTATGGTACCGTGGTGTCAGTGGGAACACTGACTCCGCACCCTCTCCTGGCCAGCTCTGATCTCACCCAGACTTTTCCCAGCATTGCCCCTCTGGTTTGGCCCTGGCTGGCCAGGGGGGCCCATGCAGCCATGCTGAGCCTCAGCCCTCCCCCATGAGAGGAGGAACTTGCAGCCCCGCTCAGGAAACAGTACTTTGGTTGCATGAAAATTTTCCAGGTTTCGACATCTGTGTGTGCTGGGAGGCAAAATGATACCGAAACACCGGGAACATGGAGAGAGAGCAAAAAGCGGGTGGGAGGGGGCCTGCCCGGATGGCCCTGGGGAGCGGGGAGGGGGAGTCCTGGCTGGAGTCAGCTTGGAGCGGACGTGCCCGGGGCTGTCTGATGAGGTCTCATCCCTTGGCCCGGCCCAGAGCGACTTTCCTGCCCAGCTGTTGCTGAACAGATGTGCAAAACTTTTTTGACAAAAATAGCGTCTCTTGGGTGATGGTGGGCTGAAGGGAGGAAGCGGCGTGCGGGATTCCCAGCTCGTGTTCCCCCCGGGAGCCTTCCCAGCTGGCTGCTGGCTGGGCTGCATACCCTGACCCCGGGCTGCGTGCCGCGACCCTGCAGAGCCACGGGCCAGCCGGCCTTGGCGCTGGGGACCCTGAGCACAGCTTGGTGGGTGGGGGACAAGTGGCCCTTTCTGTACAGGACGTGGTGACCCCCCCCTTGCCACGCTTGCAGCCCCTCAGGACTGGTCCTGTCCTGGCATCTCCCCGAGGGAAGGCACTGGGGTGCTGCTTTGAGATGGGCTGTGGTCCCCCGGGGAGCCCTCTGGTAGAGGGGGAGAACCACAGACTGGAAAACAGTGCCTTATGGAGGGCTGACCAGTGCCTTACTGGGAGCTGACCAGTGCCTGCCTCTCCATGCAGGCCACAGGGCGGCGCTGTTCCCCCAGCCATGAGCTCCCCAGGTTGAAGGGGCAGACCCCGGGGTGTGGGGGTCCTACCCCAGGGTGGGGGGTCCCAGCAGGGTCCCTGCGGGATGCAGGCCGCATGACAGACCCTGTGCTGGTTCCCTTCCAGGTGATCCTGTCGGAGTCGAACCCTGCGGATGAGGTGCCCTTCTTTGAGACCTGGATGCTGACCTGCATGCCTGAGGAGGGGAAAATCCTTAACCCCGACCACCCCTGCTTCCGCCCTGACTCCACCAAGGTGGAATCCCTGGTTGCCCTCCTCAACAACTCCTCTGAGATGAAGCTGGTGTAAGAGCTCAGCCTGCACACCCACCCTGCCGGGGCAGGGTGGACCGGGAGGGGAGCACCCACCCAATCTTCCCTGGTCCCATGGCTTCTCTGAATGAGTGCCTGAACCCCTCCACCTCTCTCTTCCCTGGCAGGCAGATGAAGTGGCATGAGGCATGTCTGAGCATCTCAGCTGCCATCCTGGAGATCCTCAATGCCTGGGAGAATAGCGTCCTCACCTTTGAGTCAATCCAGGTGGGCCTGGCGGGAGGATGGTGTGGGGCAGAGCAAGGCACTGCCACTGCACTGTGTCCCGAGGAGGGGCCAAGGCTTGAGCAGGGCAGGGGTCTCCTGTTTTCCTGTCCTGAGTGCTCCTGCAGCCACCGTGGAGCTCACTGGCTCCTGTGTGACTTGGGTGGGGAACTGACATGGCTTCAGATGCTACCCTGAACTGCCCTCTTGGTGGCAGTGGGGCTGGCAGGGGCATGGTCAGTCCGTGGAGGAGTGAAGTGCTTGGACCCTGCAGTTGGGACCCATAGCCCTGGGAAGTGATGCTGAGATAAAGCCTGTGCACCCACACGTCTGTGCTCATCCACCTCCACTGCCATCTCCTCCCCTAGAAAATCACAGACAACATCAAGGGGAAGGTGTGCAGCATGGCGGTGTGTGCGGTGGCCTGGCTGGTGGCCCATGTCCGCATGCTGGGCTTGGATGAGCGGGAGAAGTCCCTGCAGATGATCCGGCAGCTGGCCACCCCCCTGTACAGCGAGAACACCCTGCAGTTCTACAATGAGCGGTGAGCTCCAGTGCACCAGGCCCTGTGCTGTGCCGTCTCCCGCCCTTCTTCCACCTCCTGGGGCCTGCGTGACCCTGTCTGTCTCTGCCGCAGCGTGGTGATCATGAGCTCCATCCTGGAGCACATGTGCGCAGACGTCCTGCAGCAAACAGCCACGCAGATCAAGTTCCCCTCCACGGGCATGGACACCATCCCCTACTGGAACCTGCTGCCCCCCAAGAAGCCCATCAAGGAGGTGCTGACAAGTGTCTTCACCAAGGTGCTGGAGAAGGGCTGGGTTGACAGCCGCTCCATCCACATCTTCGACACCCTGCTGCATATGGGGGGGGTCTACTGGTTCTGCAACAACCTGGTCAAGGTACAGGGTGGACACGGTGGCTGTCGAGCCCAGGACTGCTGGGGCTAGCCCGTGTTCCCAGTGCCCAGGAGTCCTGGTTGTGGCTGGGCTGACTGCTGTGACAGTCCCGGGCG